TAATTCTTCACATTCGAGTGAGAGAAATATCTAAGCAAACCGCAAAAGTTCATAGTGATGACCTTTAGATCAAAAATGAAAACAACAAATCGCAGTTAGTTAGGTCTGTAATCTTCCTCTTCCCCAATCAACCAGTCATTGATACGGTTAAATCCCAAACTATCAACCTTTTTCCATATCAAATCTGCGACCTATTTCCACCTTCGTGTTACTTAGATCCTTGTCGGGACTAGAGGGACGCAAGTTCTTACTTAATTTTAGGGTTTCTTTCAACTTTGAGAATATATAAGAATGCGTGCGATGAGAGCTTGACACATAAGAAAAATTCTTATTCACGTGATCATGACAAATGTAATTGTTAATTTAGATTGTGACATGTGTCAATATTAACAAAAATTTAAAAATTAAAATAAGGAATATATTCTAAAAAAAATATTGTGGACCAATTAACAAAAAAAAAGAAAAAACCGTCATACTAAAATAAGTAATATTTCTAAATTTTTATATAACAAAATACACTCTTTCCATTTCAAAATATTTAAATAGTTGAAGACAAAAGGAAATATCATATTATAATTATCATTTTGCTAATATAATAACGTGTATAAGACAATTTTATTATGTGATAAATATAATAAATTGACGATTTAATAAAACATTGTTTCCATTTCAAAATATTTAAATAGTTAAAGACAAAATGAGATGTCATATTATAAGTGTCATTTTGCTAATATAATAATGTGTATGAGAAAATTTTATTATGAGATAAATATAATAAATTGATAATTTAATAAAATATAAAAAGATATAATAATAAAATAAATATAAATATTTGTGCGATGTAGAATTTAATTACATTTGTCAATTTATAGGTGTTATAAATTTTAAAATCAAAAATATTTACTGCAATGCATTTTATATAACCATGACACGTAAGCAAAATTATAACTCACGAGATCGCGACATATATCTAACATTGATCAGATGATGAATGTGTTAAAATTTAAAATTAATTAAGAAAACTAAGATTTAAGCTACTAATCAAATAATAAAAAATAAAATTTCTAATACTATCTATACTAATTAAGAAGCAAAATTTAAGTTGAAATATAGACATTACATAAGCCATAAAAAGAAACAAATAATACATACATAATAAAAATATCAATTAAAATAATTAAAAAGACGAATAATAAAAAAAGGTATATAAATTGAATAAACAAAAGTAAAAAAGGTTAAAAAAACTCAAATTAAAAATTTAAAAATATACACAACCATGCAAATAAATAATAAAACAATCTACAAAAATACTTATTTTATCAATATAGAATTATAGAATTTCACAAAAACAGAAATTTTTGACCTATGATACCATTGATACTCTCCAAGTATATATATTGAAAATTATACTCCCTCCGTTTCTAAATATAAGATGTTTTAGCTAAAAATGCAGAGATTAAGAAATTAATTTTTCTTCACAAAGTATCATTTAATATATAAAATAAAAATAATTTCATCAAAAATAAGACTGCAAAATACTATTGGTCGCACAATATTCAGTAAAGTAAAAAGTACACAAGATTGTCAAAACATCTTATATTTTGAAAAAAACCTCAAAAACATCTTATATATGAAACGGAGGGAGTATAAGTTAAAAAATAATAATATTATATTTACTATGAAGTTAATACTGTATAAAGTTTGGCGAGTATAACTTTTATGAGAAAAAACGATAACATTAATAAAATAAAATTATCAATCATGTACATATGTAATGTTCATAACATTATTTGTAGTTTTTATGAGGTAACTAATATAAATTTTACTTTTTCTGATTTAACTATATAATATTTTAATTGTTTATATTTCTATCACAAAATTCATAAATTCATAATGGGTTAAAATATATATTTTTGTGCTATTGAGAATATTAATTAAATTTCAATTGTATATATTTTTGGATTTGCATAATATGGATTAAAATATGAGAATTATGATATAAACTGACTTCTACTGGTGTTAAAATCTACGTTAAATAGTATTTTAAAACACAGCGGATTACTAATTAAAGTTAAAAT